CAAACAAACTTTCATTTTTGTTGGATATAAGTGAACCTGAATACTACAGTAGAAGTCTCACACCTGACTCTTGAATTTTCTTTTATTTACAGTTATTCTTCATTAAAGTATAAACATTTGTTTTTGTCCTCTAAATCAAATACTAAAAATAAACTTCTGGTAATTATGAGTCTTTTTAACTGCTGACTGGCTACCTTGCAACATTTTTTATGACAACACAGATGATTTCTTGAAAATAATACTTGCTTTATATTTCTTCTTGTCTCTGTTTTTTTTTCTGTTCCCATGTGCTATTAATAAATGCATCAGATCTGAATTAAAATTGTACATTGTAAAATCCTTATTAACTTCAATATTTTAAGGCATGGTTATTAATCATTCAGGAGAAGTTATTATAGAAATGAGATTACTTAGAAAGTATACCCATAAAAGTTTTTAAACAATTAATAATTAAATGACTGTTAATTACTCTTTTTCTCAGAAATAATTGTTCCTGTTTTTTTTAGTGGTATAATAATTTGTTACAGTAGGTAACATGTAATATATCTACAATGTTTGTTATCCGTAAAATTAAGCTTTTCTGTAATTCTTTAATCAATAAAGAAATAATATATTATTGTTCAAGGAGGTAATTTAAACAATAACTAATGATTTAGTTTTGTTGAATAAGCAAAAAGTAATATACTTCCATTAAAATAATTCAATGTTAAAATTAGAGCCAGTTTTGATTATTATACATTTCTGTTTTCAGAATAGAGGTCACAACTGTAAAACTGATAATCTTGGAAAGTTACTCACAAAGCTAATATTAATAAGTAACTATTTCCTAAATCACAATTTTCCTGCTGTGTCAGAGAAAAATTAAAAACGCTTCCAAATTAATACAAGTGCATATCTCAAGAAAAGTGATAACGTATTACTATGCTAGTACTACTTTAGTGTATTATTTCATTGGAAAATGAACTAATTTTCAAAAGTCATGTGATTTAAAAAATGCAAAACTGCACAAAAGAAAATTTGATTTTAATGAACAGTATTTAAAATTTTAAGGTCACATTACGTATATTTGTGTAATAACAAAAACTGTTAATCTAATTTATAGATTAGAAACTAAAAGTAATTTAATATTTTGCAATTAATTTGGCTGCTTCTTGTCCAACCTCTAACTCAGCTACAAATCATTCCTAGACAGGAGGGGACTTTTAGGATCATTGAATGTACCTTAATTTGTTAGTGTTTAATAGTATGTAATTTTATTGTGCATTCAAAATAAAGACTGGATCATAGTTTGTTTGTTTTTAGGGTTATATGATTCAATACAATACATTTAAGTGTAAAGGTGTACAAACAAGGATATAAAATACCACTCCTGTATACTAATAATATCAAAAAGATACTATTTAAAGATTTTTATGTGAAACTTTACTCATGGTTATAACAATTTCAGTCTGCTTAAAACTGTGGTATTTTCAGATGCACTGATTTTCATTCATAGTAATCGAATAGATTCTGCAGAATAATGAGAGGTTTAACAGAAAATATTCTGTGGTACTAAATCTGAATTATCTGATTTTGACTGGGTTGTGAAAAGAAAGAGACTGGACATAATTTAATGTGAAAATAATCTTTATTAAAGACATAAGACAAGTTTGTGAGTGTTAAAAAAAGCTGGTACCTTTACTGTAGACTGTGAGCTCTCAGAAGTTAAGTTAAAATGATTTTCAATATGTAAACCAGTAAGTCATGTGACCGCCACAGTCAATATGAAGTCAGATGGAATGGCATATATTAGAACTACATTTTAACATTGGCATTTCACAGGTAGTGATGAGACATGAAGAGATACCGATCAAGTCACCAGACACAGCACCTATGCATTTCTGTGCAATTGGACATGACAGTCTTATGATGAAGACTTTTGCAATGGGAACTACACATTAGGGCTATTATTAAAATGCATGATTATCAGATAGAGCATAGTGTGATGTAGCAATGTGAACTGTAATGACATTGTGAAGTTCCAAAATCATTTTAATATAGTGTATCCAACCCTCTCTAAACATTTAATAAAAATGCTATTCTTCCTAGGGTTTATGCACTGTCAATGGTAT